TGGGAAAACTTGCAGACATTTCCATGGCTGGAGCGATAATTTGACCCACTACGGCAGTTCACTAGTAATACAGCTTCGCCCTAGTTCGACCGTACTGGTCGTGTTACTTCGACGGCAGGTGCGTCTGCAAAAGGCACAGCATGAGGCTTTTCGATTCTCAGCTTGATCCATGCGTACTGGTCTACTTCTTGCGTGAAGAACTTTTGTCTAAGTTCTTCAACCAGCCACGCTAGTAGGCTCTCAATAGTTTGGAAAGTAGACCCGGATATCGACTACGTCGGTCAGTCAGTGTGGATTTGTATGTTTTGTTGTGCTTACCTCAAACAAGAGGGCCTCCAATTGGGGGTAGTCTTCAACACGAGAGTCATGTATATTGTCAACCCACACGTTGAGGACTACGGGCTGCTTCTGTAACCTCTCATTGGCGTTGACGCCAATTAGGCATGGGATGCGGACGTCGCGCAGATACAGTACGTTCGAACGGGTGCCGGTTCTTTCAATGCGAGACGTAATATGTCCAGCGCCTTCGCCGAACATGCTGCCTTTCATGTAACATATGTTCGTTTCGATCGCATATATGTCTGTCGAGCCTGCGACGTCGCATACACTTTTAGAGACAGCGGCCGAGAGAGCAGCAGTTGACATCCAGGCCATGGTGTCATCTTTAAAGCGTGCTTGTATGGCCTTGCTGAGCGTACCATAGTGAACTGTACTATCATCGACAGAATCCGTAGAAGAAGCCGATGTGAACTGCTTCCCCAGTGTCAACGTGACGCTGATCAAGGCGCGCTGCTTCTTCAAGCGCCCCCAGACGTCTTTGCCTGCATTCACAACAACCTCTAGATTCTGAACCATGATCTTGTCATGATGTCCACTTGAAGCAGCCTCAGCACTCCACTGGGCCTGGCAAACGAGTTGGCTCATGATGGAATTTCGGCTGATGAACTTGGACGAAGAAATTGATAGGCTGGAGAAGAGATGGACTGTATCTTGGAAATGAACTAACTGTGGTCTCAGATTCTTCCAGGTGCGAACTTGTTGAGAAAGTTAGTATGAAGACCCGCGTAGTCACGCATCAGCTTTTGCAGACGACAAAACGCGTAGAAAAGGCAAAAGCTTGCAGTCGGCCGCAAGATTTCGTCATTGTCTCCAAAGACTGAACAAAGCAGTCGCGTAGAAGGTGAAAGAAGGGCGCACAGGAGGGGCTGAGCGAGGGCTGAAATGGTACTCACCAAGCTGAAAGTGAGATGCGTGAGGCTCGTGGTGGGGTATATGACGAGCCCTGTAGACGGCTGCCCGCACGGACTTCTTTCCCGAGCAGAGCTCCGCAATCGAACATTCTAGCTACACATCAAACTATAATTCAGAGTCTGTCCCTCATACGCGCGGTGTACCAAGCAGATTCGCAGTCACATTCCCGAATCACCCTAAATCGAAAACACCTCCAACATGGCGGACGCACTAAAAGCAGAGGGAAACAAGCTCTTCGCTGAGAAGAAGTTCGCCGAGTCCATGTAGGGTCCCCCGCAAACGCTGCCTAGCGACAGTTTACTAACAAACTCCAGCGAGAAGTTCTCACAGGCAATCGAGCTCGACCCCTCAAATCACGTCCTATACTCGAACCGATCAGGCGCATATGCCTCGCTAAAAGACTGGCAGAAGGCGCTCGACGATGCGAACAAGGTGACGGAGATCAAGCCAGACTGGGCCAAGGGCTGGGGTCGCAAGGGAACGGCGCTACATGGCGAAGGTGACTTGGGTACGTGTGGATTCCATCTATGAGAGGATGTTGCTAACTCCCGACAGTGGCAGCCACAGAAGCCTTTGAGGAGGCACTTAAGCTCGACCCCAGCAATGCTCAAGCAAAGTCCGGTCTCGATGCCGTCAAGCGCGCAGTCGAGGCAGAGGCGAACGACAGCGGTGCAGGCCTCGGTGGCATGTTTAGCGACCCCAACATGATCCAAAAGCTCGCCGCGAATCCCAAGACGGCCGCTCTTCTCGGCGATGCAGAGTTCATGGGCAAGCTCCAGCAGCTACAGAAGAACCCCAACATGGCTGGCGCCTTCATGCAGGATCCCCGCTTCCTCCAAGTTATGAGCGTCCTGCTAGGCATTGACATGTCGTTCGGCCAGGGACCCGGTGCTGGAGGTGCAGGCGATGCAGGCGCCAAAGAAGCCGAAGAGGACGTCGAGATGCCCGATGCGCGACCAGCTCCCAGCCAACCCAAGAAGGCGCCAGAGCCAGAGCCAGAGCCAGAACCGGTAGAAGAGTCTGAGGAGGACAAGGCTGCGAAGAAGGCAAAGGCCGAGGCCGACGAACTGAAGAAGAAGGGAACCGAGTTCTACAAGAAACGACAATTCGACGAGGCTATTGAGAACTACAACAAGGCCTGGGAAACACACAAGGACATCACATACAAGACCAACCTTGGAGCTGCCAAATTCGAGAAGGGCGACTACGAAGGCTGCATTCAGGCTTGTAATGAGGCTGTCGAGTATGGTCGCGAGATCCTCGCCGACTTCAAGATCATTGCCAAGTATGTCATATTCTGTCTTGCAACAATCATGCGCTAACACCATGCAGGGCCTTTGCACGCATCGGTACCGCCTACGAGAAGATGGGTGACCTTGGCAACGCAATCACGTACTACCAAAAGGCACAAACCGAACACCGCACACCCGAAGTCCTTGCAAAGCTCCGTGCTGCAGAGAAAGCCAAGGTCGTCAAGGAGAGGGAGTCATACATCAACCCTGAAGAGGCTGAGAAGGCGCGCGAGCTCGGTAATGCCAAATTCAAGGAGTCCAACTGGCCAGAGGCCGTGGAGGCATACTCGGAGATGATAAAGCGCGCACCGGACGACCCAAGAGGATACTCTAACCGCGCCGCCTGTTTCATCAAGCTGCTTGAGTTCCCATCGGCAGTACAGGACTGTGACGAGGCTATCAAGCGCGACCCCGACTTCATCCGGGCATACCTGCGGAAAGCCCAGGCATACTTCACCATGCGCGAGTACAACAAATGTATCAACGTCTGCGCAGAAGCCATGGAACACGACAAGGATGGCAAGAACGCGCGAGAGATTCAACAACAAGAGTCCAAGGCTCTGCAAGCACAATACTCTGCACGCGAGGGCGAGACTGAGCAGCAGACCATGGAGCGTATTCAGCGTGATCCTGAGGTACGTCTTATCCAACTCGCAAACTATGCCCTTATACTAACATGTCTCAGATTGTCGGTATTTTACAAGATCCCGTTATGCAGGCCATTCTTCAACAAGCTAAGGACGACCCTGCGGCTCTGCAAGAGCACTTGAAGAACCCAAGCATTCGTTCCAAGATCCAGAAGCTGGTGCACGCCGGTGTCATCAGAATGGGACGATAGACTTCCACGAGTGGTCAATGTGACGATGCATGATTCACATTTTGTATGTTTATATGGGTCTTTTCTATCTGCATAGCGTATAGGTAATGAAACATTTATGATTTCTCTCTTCACACTTGATCTCTGTCTCATGGCTTGATGGCGTATATCTTGAAGGATGCTATGACCCAGTTAGTTGCTGTCGGACGAATAGACACCCCTTCGCTTACTTACCAGCCCATTCATTCAAATCAACATCCTGAAGCTCTCTTCTCATGTCCTCCGCCACACCTCCGTCTCCACAGCATGACCGTGGCTCTACGCCGAGGTCTTTCTCGCCCTTGTAAATGTTCAAATCGCCACCCGCCTCCACAACAATTGACTCTCTGAACCCCGCTTCCTCCAGCCACCCCTCGTACTCCTCCTTCTTACTCGCTCCTGCTACGCACCCTACAAGCAACGCTACGTTGTTCTTCAGATTCTCTGGCAGATCTTTCTTCAGTAGAATATCTGATATGGCTACCCGACCACCTGGCTTGAGCAATCGGTACATCTCCTTGAAGACTAGATGTTTGGACAATTTAGGAACGAGATTTATAACGCAATTCGACGTCATGACGTCGGCGGTGGAATTATCGAGCTGGGGGATGGATGTAATAAGAGATTGTATGAAGTCGGTGTTGAGTGTACCTGATTTATCGGCATTGAGACGCGCTTTCCGAAGCATGTGCTATGTCGAACTTGTTAATCTTTGTCACTCTTCTCATGTCAGTCGAACGATGGAAACACGAACCTCGTTCATATCTATACCAATGGCCTTTCCCGTTTCTCCTACCCTCTTTGCGGCAAGGAAAACGTCAAAACCTGCTCCACAGCCTAGATCGATGACCGTCTCACCCTCTTTCAGATTCGCTAATGCGAGTGGGTTTCCACAGCCCAGACCGATGTTTGAATCCGTAGGGATGGAAGAAAGTTCGGCCTGTGTGTAGCCGAATGTGCGAGCAACGGCGGATGCATTGTCAGTGCTTAGGCTTTTGGATAGTGCAGTGGCGGTGTAGCGTGCGTGGATGGTTGAGTATGTTGGATCTAGGTCTGGGGTCATGATCGGATTTGAATGCTTGAGTTTAAATGGAATTAATAGAAGATATGCTTAGTTGGTCCTTGCTCGGGCAGGTAGATAGACTGAGGATAGCAGTAACGGCTTCGGTAGGTTGGAAAGTATTGATATGGAAACCTAGTCGGTATGTCACTCAAATGGAGTGATATGTCATTTGAATATTGGCTAAGCGGCTTTACCCCGCACATCGTTGTATTACGCATATTCGTCGGTCTCGCCCATCCTTTTTGTTAGACTAAGCAACCAAGCGAATGATTGTGTGAGTTGGCATAAAGTATTGTAGGCATGGGGTATTGTATCGCTTAGTGCAAAAGAGAAACGAGACGAGTGGTAGCACTGCTATCATTCCAATATTTTATGAATATAAAACGAAAAGAGACCTACATCTGGAGCCACACTCCTGCGTCGATAGGCACCGATAGTCTACACTGCTGCAAGAGAGCCCCATCGTACACGTCATGCCAATTTCTAGTCCGGTGTCTGAGTCTCAACAGGAAACCATCTTCATAACCAACGTCGAACCCTACAATCCACTAATAAAATCCAACAACCTCATCAACGCCCCGTTTTCAACCCTACAACCCTCACCTTCCCTTTGCGCTCGTCTCAGTCCCTGCGCCAACCAAAGTCGAATGGTATCCGGATCTAGATTCCTAAAGTTTTGCTGCCCAATCATAACAAATGCCTGAGCGCACAGCGTAGTGCTCTCTGATGGATCGGGTGGAGGTTTAGTCTTGCAAGACGAGCACTCCAAGTCATTAGTCGAATTCGATAACGGTAATGGGTCGCTACAACATGGTGGTGGGCCGGCGGTAGTGTTGCTGGAGATGATGTTAAGGTCCTGTGACGGAATGGCCAAGAGCGAAGTTGTAGGCGAGGTATTTGACGACAGATAGAAGGATGAATCGCCAAGGAAGGAAAGGTCTGGAATGGGGACATCAGGGTAGGCCAGCTGCGGGTCGATGTCGGCTCCTGGTTGGACGGTGAGGGCTAGCGAATTTTGCTGGCTGGATGGTGCTGGGCATGGTATTTCTTGCAGTCCAGAGCTCCCTTCCTCTTCATATCTTACTCCTCGCGCCGCTTCTTCGATTTGAACGTCGTTGGCTTGCTGTTGTGAGTTGGTGGCCGATTGTCCTTTTAACACGGCGATTTCCGCCCTTGCCTCTGCAAGCAGTTTCTCAGTCTCTGCAAGCTTTTGCTCAAGAGAGGCGACGTGGTCTCGCTGTCGGGCCCGATGTCTCCTCTGGTTCTCGCGCACTCTGTTCAATGTGTGCTCAGCCGACACGCGTGACCGCCGGCTCCTGGGAGCTGCGGTATCGGAGGTTTGTTCCGACGACGAAGTTGCTGGGGAAGTCACCATGTTCGCTGCAGAGATACTGATGGGTGAACGTGATTATACAGCTGCCTTCTGAAGATTGCGCACAGCGGTGCAGGTGCATCTTCGAGAAGGTGCCTGGGTGGAGTTGAGGCAGCGGATGTAGGAGCTTGGCGGTGACATATCGACGAAGCTCCTCCGCGATTGGTTCGCGGCGACCTGAAACATCATCGCAGACGTTCGACATTAAGCCTCGTAACAAAATTGGGCCTTTGCACGGCGACGGTTATTTCTTCCAACACAACCTTCATGTCTGACTAAGGCTCGTTTCGACTACGTTGAGTATTACGTGTATAGGTCACTCCATCTTGACAAGCTTTTACAGCCTTGTAACGACGAATGTGCTTGAAACATGCTCATCTTCAAGGTGATCTGTCAACATCAGACCAAACCCCGCAAAAACAGCTTGATGCGATGATCCATCCAGTCCACATCTTTCGGGTTCGCCCCGCCACCTCCAATATGTCCCCAGATACTGGGGATAATCTCCACCGTTACATCTTCCAAACTCTTGGCTTCTCTCTCGCTAACATATGGCCGGAAATACTGGTCTGTTTCACAGGGCATCAGCAAAACTTTTGCCTTGATGCTTTTTAGTGCCGACTCAAGGTCTCCTGCCTGGGTGCATCGAGTGATGTCCCCACGCTGCCACATTCCCAACATAACCTTGAGATCGTCACCACTCCAGCTTTCATAGCTTTGTATCGTGACGTTATCGTCCCAGTCCCGCAGTTGCTGGAAGCCCATTGCTTTGTAACATTCTTCATCGAACCATTCGGCGCTTGTTAACCATGCCGAGTACGCTTTTGCGAATGCCCTACGACCCGTGTCGGGGCTCTTTGCATTCTCCAGTGCTGCTTTTGGCCCCTCGAGGAACTGGTAGTTGTGTCTGCTTGTTTGGGCAGACGAGCAGACGATTACGGCGTGCTTGACGAAATCAGGATGAGTAGTTATCCAATGATAAGTGATCTGGCCCCCCATCGAGAATCCTAGCATGACGTCCACTTCTTTGATACCAAGTTCTTGGGTAAGGAGAGGGTACTGAGCGTTGATGCAGTCCATGTATTCGATGGTAGTGGGAAAGCTGGGCGTGTTTGACGGACTAGAAGATTCGCCATTGCCAAGAAGGGCGATGAGGATGATCTTATGGTTCTTCAGAGCGGCGTCAGCGTGCGTGAGGGTTGTGTCCATACGGCCCTTGAAGCACGTGTGAACAACTGCTATCTTGCTGTTGTGCGGGTTGAGGATCTTGTAAGCCACTTTGAGGTTTGGTAGTGTAGAGCCATTTTGGAACTTAAAGTCGGATATCTCGTAAGTTTGGAGGGGTTCAGAGCTGGCTTGAGACGACATTTTAGTGATGCAACGGAAGAGACGGCTGAGAATATGGAGATGAGGGGATTGTGAAGTATCGTGGGGAGTTTTAGGAGGGGTTGTGTTCAGAAGCAACGATGTATGAACTTATGACGATGGTATGGGGCTTGCTTCCGTCATTGCCGCAACGTAGAGCCCCACCTGCGGCTCTTGAAGACGACGATCAAGTGTTGGTTGAACTCAAATGTGTAGTCAACCAAACACCGGCCAACAACGGCTCACACATTGTACGGTGGTGGGAGCATTGAAGCATAGAATCGCACTGGTGATGATGGAGATGGATATTGTCTTTCTGAAGGCGACATCTGCCCTAGCAGCATGGGCATGCGTCGCCTGTAGACTTCCAAGGTTGTCTATGGTAGCATGGTCAGACATCGCAAGTCTCTCCTAACGTCTCATTGTTGTCGTCCCTACTTCGGGACGCGCCACCAACCGGCTTGTAATTGAAATGATGAGCGCTCATTTCAATCCTACAGTCGGCTCACCACTGCATATCGCTAAAGGACATGTGGCCAATAAGCGGCGATCAAGGCCGCTAGCGGGAAAAGTAAGCACCGGGTGTTCAATTATACCGCAAAATGCGCGAAGAATCAGCTCTTCTTCGGCTTCATCGAGGCTACAAGAGTCGGCTCTGGATGTGCGCAAGCTCTTGCGGTATTGCTGCTGATATGCGCTTGCGGAAAGCAAAGTCGTCCGTTCCGAGTATATTTAGACGTGCTGGGTACGCCAGGTGTCACAGCCGAGGCGATGAAGTAGGCTAAGGGATCGCCATCCCTGCCACGCCTTATCAACTCCACGCTTTGGAGCGGCCGCTGTGTTGTTTCGGGCATAGTCCATACTGTGGTCTTCCGTTTTAGGAGAGACTCAATAGCCCTACAAGCGAGGTATGGTTGAGCGGTTGGGTGTTTGCTGTTGTTGTCGCCATTGCACTTTAGGGGGGTCGGTTGAGACGGTGTGCACATGGAGAGAAGAGTGAAACACATGCCACGCACGTCATGACGATCTCGACAAGCTGGGGCCCACGATCTACGCAAGTAAGACGGTTGGGCAGGAGAGGAGCGGGCGGTGTTGATGGTGAGTTGCTGGTGTAGGACTAGCTAAGGGGTACATGTTGGATGTGCAAGACGCAACAAAGGTAAATTTGAGCCGCAATCAGGCTATGGTATTTTGGCGCCAAGAGGGGAGACTTGTCGAGTGAAAGCGTGAATGTAGGACCGAGTGCCCGCCGCACGGGCGTGATCTGGTGGGCTGAATGTGGGGTGTGTCGACGTTGGCGCTCCGAACACGAGACATTTCGAGGCCGTCGTTTTCAAGCGCAAGTCAAGGTTAGTCAAGGGTGCAATTTCGCAGTACGGCTGTACGACAATCTTGCTCGTGTAGAGAAAGCCCGAGGCTCCAGGCGCAAAAGGAGCTTAGGATACCGCTGCAGGCTTGCAACGATAAGCGGGCGGCGCGCAATTAGCTTCGACCCTGGCAATTTAGCTGATAAACTACTCCGCAACTACAGCGGCGGTTCCACGACGTTGTTGGGTCCCTGGCCGGTCCGCTGTTCTGTGGCCTTCTCTCCCATTCACCTTTCTTTCTCTGTATATACCTGAAGGCGGCATTGGTTCTTTGCACCAGGCAGTTTCATGTGGCCGGACCCTGTTAGAGAAGTGACAACCCCTCGGAACACGTCGACGGCCGGAATCCATTGACCCCAGACGGCAAACACGACACCCGCCACCAAGCCAGGCACGCGATCACCCCGACGCGCCTCCCGACTTTGACGGCGCACCACTGCCCTGTCCCCGACGCACCTGTGAAGCCTTCCCCACCCGATCAATCTCGCCGAATCTGGTCTGCGGGCAGCACCATGGTGGACGCTCAGGATGCCGGGAGTAAACTATTCTCCAAGAGCCGCTGGAAGACCAAGATCTTCGAGAAGACCAACGAATTTGCCGCCGCCTCACAGCCCAGGACCAAGCCGCCCTCGGACGACCACGACATCAACGACTTCCTCAAGCCTTCGACCGACCGCGCCGCCCAGCAGCAAAAGGACGCCGCCGCCGCTGCCGCCGCCTCGGCCTTCACCCGACCCCGCATAGATGTCGCGAGCGCCCAGCGATGGCCTGGCGCACAGGCGATATTGGCCAGCGCTGCCGCCGCCGGAAGAAGCCCAGGCCCGGGAGGTCTGAAGACAGGCACGCGCAAGAAGGGCCTCACCGTGAGTTTTGTACGCACAGTCCCCGAAGTCATAGGCCATGGCGGGGACGAGTGTGAAGACGTCGTGCTGGAAGTAGCCAAGAACAAGAAGGCAGCAAGCGTGCCCGAAGCAGACAAACTGCCGTCCCAGGTACCGCAAGACGACGCGAATCTGGGGGCGCGCAGCAATGGCATAGGCAGGACGCCCTCGCAGACCGAGTACAGGACCAACCTCACAAGAACGCGCACAAACCCCGGCGAACTGTCCCCACCGCTCGGCCAGAAGATGCAGATGGGCCAGATCAACACGCACGCCCAACTGCCACCAACACCGCCGCGTTACATGGGCTCCATGGGGCTTGGGGAGCGCCCAAAGGCACTGTCTAGGGCACCAACTGGCTTTGACGGTATTCCGGAGCCTGCAGCCGCTCTCTCTGCAAGGCGACCCAGCCAAGACTCTGTCTACTCCCAGGATTCGGACAATCTCTCGCCAGTCATGTCGCGGACCATGTCAGTACGGGAGCCTACGATCCAAGAAGAAGACGATTTCCAACCAAAACCGCTCAAACGCACGCAGACTGGCTTCAGCACCGTCGACGGAGATGCTGGACACGAGCCTGTGCATGCGATACCTTCAGTGCCCAAGCTGCCAGAGAGACAATTGCCTGAACAGGACCATGACGAGCCACTCTCGTTCGCGGAAAAAGTGCGGCGAAAGATGCGATCGGAAGAGGGCAGGACATTGCACGAAGCGTCACAACGAGCAGCCTCGGGTCAAAGGCGAGACTCCGAGACAAGCTCCCAGCAGTCTATCGTCGGTACACCTCCATCCTCATACCACACACCCGCCGCAGCAAGAACACCACTGGAAACCCCACAATCCGAATCCAGGACATCACCCCCCGGGACCTTGAATACCGAAGACCCTCAACGATCTAGAGCACGTGGGCCCTCTCCAGGACGACCAGGAGCACAATCACCGCCGTCTCAATACACTGCATTTTCCCCTTCACAAGCACGTGCTTCCCCTGCTGTGCGATCAGACCCGTTCGTTGATACTACGATAAAACGAGTGCCTTCGAATAAGGAGAATGCTATCTTCGGGGCTCTTGACGACAGCCCAAACCTCCCAACTCCGCCCCAATTTCCCCAGGGTGCATCCTATTTTTCAGCACAACCTCAGCAACTACCCTCTTCGCTCCCGCAGTCTCTACAACCCTCTCCACTGCCCCAGACTCTCGCAGTGTCAGCGCCTCCAAGCCAGTTACCGTCGCGAAATGCTTCGGGTGCCAGCGCCAAACCGGCGGCCCCTCTAGCTCGCTCCGATACGAAGTCAGCAAACGAGTTTGCATACCGGGATTTTGCCGAGCGAATCACACATATGAGAGGTATTTTCCAGCTGACGGCTCAGCTTGGAGGCAACGTTAACAACCACACGCCGATGCAATGGCTCCGGGTCGCTACGTGGTGGTTTCTCAAAGGACGTACAGGGATGGAGAACCTGATAAGGAGTCAGCCTAAGACTGCCGAACCGATCCAAGAGCGACTCGCTCAACCGCATGTCGACTTGGCCAAGGTGTGGTGGATCATTTCTGAGGTGCTTCCGAACCACCCCAGCTTACAGGGATATGGCAACGCCTCTCCCGATGCGCAGGTTGATCTTTCAAGAAAAGCTGGGGACGCTGCGAGCGCGGAGGTGTTCGACATTCAGAATGCGATTGCCCACTACCTGAAGCTGCTCGTGGGATCGATGAAGAAGCACCAGAGCATGCCTCCGACCCAAGCGCTCATCCAAGGACAAGACCAAAAAATATGGGAGGAATATCCCACGTTCCCTGCAGATGCGGCGAGTGTATTGACTTCCGGACTTCCTGCACCCAACGGCAGCCAGTCGCAGTTTAGCCTATCACAGTACATACCTCTTTCCGACACCAAGACTGACTTCTGCTATTTTCGCATGTTTGTAAAGGCCTCTGTGTCGACCGACAACCCTGCGACAGATCGTGTTCCTATGGATGCCGTTGTCTCTGTCATGCGATCCAAGGAAGAATACCAGGTCAAATTGGCCATCTGCAGCCAGAACAGTCTGATCAATCTCCTAGTCGGCTCAGGATCGGTGCTTACATGGAAAGACGTCCAATGGAAGCAGCAGTCATCACAACTTACTGTCCAGCTACGACATGGATTTGTACTCACTATGGCGCTACATGAGAGTGACTTCCGCAGCCTCTGGTCTACTGTCAACCACACGAACAGGACGGAGTCTGATTTACGAGAACGGAGAGACGAGCGTTTTGCCTGTAAGATGTATTTGAAAGAGGCGAGTTACAGGGACCCCGCAAAGCCATCAGCGTTCCCAGCTGAGCGCGTATCAGGCTGCAAGCTCATGGTCTTCCAAAGGATTGAACGCAGTAGTGAAGGCACAGGCAAGCGAAAATTGCATAGAGGCTACCGTATGGTTCTGGTCACCCCGCAGCAGACTAAGCAAGTCAGCACAATCAATCACGAGCTCGGCACGAAACAGGAGCCCATGAACTTCGAATACGTGACCGAAGCGGATCAAGCCCCTGCGCTGAGATTGCGCTTCCGTGAAGAGGGTGCCGATAAGAGGCTGAGAACATGCACAGCCCATCTTGTTTTCCAGGATGGCAAGGACCGCAACAACCTGTTTGGCACTTTTACCTCCATGAACGTCGCTGAGGGCGAGACTACATTCGCCCAAGTGGCTCTCAAGGCTTTTCACATTGAGAGCGCTGACCAAGCAGAGGGCTTTACGCAGGGTAGTCGTGTGCTTG